GTTTCAATTCAACACACAGATTCATCTATTGCCACTGCAAGTGTTAGTTTAAAACCATTGCGCTTTGCTCTGTGCCTGCCTTATTTGGTGCACATTCGGTTCCCTGCATATTGTTTAGAGTTGAAGATTAATTGGGTTGAAAAACTGACTTCAGTTCCAGGTCAAATGAGCAGCTAAGAGCAGGTTGAGTCAATGGGAATTTAGTAAGGGGACATTTTTAGGGATATCTGTACTTAGTTTAAAGAGCAGATTATGTGTCCTACCATTATAGTAATCTGGAGACTTCCACTAAATTTGAGCTTTGTGCTCTTAAAAAAACCCTGTCATCCAAATTAACTGTGCATTTAAGGTAAAAATGCCAGAGATTAAAGGGTTATAGACAATACCTGCATGAATTGATAAAGACTAGTTGACGTTAACACTTACTGTATTCCTCATATAGGACTGTCTCATGATGCAGTGACGTCAGCAAAGGCAAAGGGTTTGGCCCAAGCTGGAAAAGAAAACACCCATGTGTTTGCTCTTCTCTCCAGCTGGCTCTCAACAAGCATACACACACACACCCACACACATGTCTGTTGTGCTATATGTAGTGAGGACCATGTGTTCACTCCTATTGACTTCCATTGATTTTAAATAATTTTCAACCCTTTCTATGCCCTGACCGTAAACCTAACCATTACAAATGCATACCTCACCCTAACCCTAACCCTAACCCAAATGACATCTTAGCCCTAAACCTTACTATAAGTAAAATAGCATGTGAGGACAAGCAAAATGTCCTCACTTTACAACTGGTCCTCATTGTGATGGTGAAGTTTGAAAAAAATAATTGGTCCTCGCTCTGATTCCTAAAAGGTACATCCATACACACACACACACACACACACACACACACACACACACACACACACACACACACACACACCCACACACACACACACACACACACACACACACACACACACACACACACACACACACACACACACACACACACACACACACACACACACACACACACACAGATAAATCCAGAGGAGGAGAGTAACATTTCTGACAAGATCTCAGTCTCCACTGTGTCTGTTAAGACGTCACTGCTTAGGTCTTCTGTCACCGGTCACAGAGCATGGTTTTATTGGAAACAGTTCATAATATATCAACCTAACCGTCTGAAGTATCGTGCTGTATATGTGCCTCCATGTCTGTCATGGCTCAGCTATACAGTTCACACATCTGAGAAGATGGCAAATAACATCCATCAAGTAAGGGTAAACATGATAATTTTTATCCTGTAGAGAAAAGACAGTGTCTGTCACATATATTTTTTTTAAGTTAACATCTTTTTTCTTCTATTGCAACAAAAATGGTTTATGTTTTGAGTTAAGGCCTGTGCTTATAAAGCACCTTTTGACGACTGGTGACTCCAGAGTGCTTTTTACATATGATGGTGGTACGATACATTCACGCCAAAGCTGTCCTGGGGGACACTTACAGAAACAAGGCTGGTCAGAGTGTCCCAGGGCAGCTGTGGTCATAGTGTTTCATAATCAGGCCTGATAACTATGCACTACTTTATGCACATAAAATCTGAAAACATTTTTAAGAGTCAGGGTGCATGAATGCTTTTGCAATGATTGCCATGCTTGGAAACTATTAAAAAGCAGCAGAACATAAACTTAGCTTAATTTACCCGCTTTACTGGAAAAAAAGTACTTTCTTCCTTTAATAGTGAGTTTAGAATTTAGATTAGTTCTAACGCTTTTCCCTGTCACTTGTCTTTTGTCCTATATTTGTAGAAATACTGTGAATGTTGGCTCTGCTCCCTATGCCTCCATTAGCTCTGTCGTTGCCTTTAATGTTGTTACATGAAGCTTAGAAACTTGAGACATATTGATCATAGTAATCAATCAATATGTGTTTATGAGTTTCAAAAGTAAGCTCCAAATCACCTGATTGGCACAGAGGTAGGAAAGAGGTTTCGAAGATGCACAGAAGCAAGAGTCATGTCTGTTTTCTGCACAACAGCATCCTTTACTGTCAAACTCCCAAGATTTGCGGGAGCAAAGGAAGCATGTGAATACACTGACTCGGAAAAAGATGTTCTTCACATGCTGGTGCTTGGCTCTGCAGCTCTAAAGTGGGCCAGATCTCCGTGCAGAGCTTTGGGATGGGAGCCATGTTGTTGCTTCAGCTTTTGTAGCTGCTCTGGTCCCTTCGCCTAGCAAAGGTGAGCCAGGAGTCACCCTCACATCTGACATGAATATGAACAGTTGTTGGAGAAGCAACATCATCAAGTTAACGACAAGCCACAGTGTCATCAGTTGAGACGTTTCTGAGAAGATTTGCCAAATGTTAAAGGTTCCAGTTATTATTTTTCTTTTTGTGTTTTCATAAAATTATGACCAAAAAAAAACTTTCAAAATAAGTATGTGAATGCTTCAGAGAAGCATTTCATCTTTGGAAGGTATCACTATCAACATAAAAGTTTCTGCAGAATCACTCAGTGTGTAAAAGTATGGAAGCACTGCAGTGTGTTATGGTGATTTTCCCTCTCTGGTTGAATGAAATTGTTGCAAAAGCAGTCACTGCATGTTAAATATTTAAACTACTCTCTTACAGTTTTATCCAAAGATCCGTGTTAAGGGCTTCTGGTGTGGCCATATTGGGAATGTCAAGGGAAAGGAAAAAAATACTGACACACAAATCTGTTTTCACTTTTTAGTTTTAGACTTTAATCTTTTTCATGTTTTTTTGAGTGAGATCACTGGATTGTTTGCACATTTATTGAAAATGAAACCATGTGAGAAGTTTGGAAAGAAAAGCCAGTCTTTGGTGGAGTTGCTGACAACTTATAGACACCCGAAACATGACCCCAACAACACACTGCATTTTGCTGTCAGAAAAAAGTGTAATAAAAAAAAAGAAGAAGAAGAAGAAAGAAGGAAAGAAATACGGAAAGAATGTTGTCTAAATTTTAAAGTATTTTAAGGACACAGTATTATAAAGGCTGGATATTTATACACAAATAAAGGGTTTTATCAATTCTGAATGAAGTAGAAAAGGTTTAGTTTGATTCTGGAATAAGTTAGAAAAAAAAATAATAATTTCTGTAGAGCGTTGGATTGCTCCATGTCCAGATGTTTGTGTAATAAAACTACCAATTCAAATTAGACAAAGTACAAATATTTAATCAATAGTACAATGAAAGACATATAATAAATTATGAAACCCTCCTACTGTCCGATGTTTGTGGGGCTGAATGATCATCCAGCTCACACGCAAAAATGCAAAACTGCAAAACTGCAAAAAAAAAAAAAAAAAAAAAAAAAAATATATATATATATATATATATATATATATATATATATATATATATATATATATATATATATATATATATATATATATATATATATATATATATATACGGAAGAGGATTAGGGCCACTGAAAAAAAAAAGTTAACTTATTTTTAAATTTTATTTCAGTTTAACATGGGAAAAAAGTCAGAATTCTGACTTTAATCTCAGAATTCTGACTTTTTTCTCAGAATTCTGACTTTAATCTCAGAATTCTGACTTTTTTCTCAGAATTTTGACTTTTTTTATTGTCAGAACTCAGTCAGAATTCTGAGATTAAAGTCAGAATTCTGAGAAAAAAAGTCAGAATTCTGAGAAAAAAGTCAGAATTCTGAGATTAAAGTCAGAATTCTGACTTTTTTCCCCATACTATACTGAAATAAAATAAAATAAAAATCAGTTAACATTTTTTTTTCAGTGGCCCTAATCCTCTTCCGTATTATATATATATACCGGTATATATATATTTTTTTTTTACAAACTGTAAAATTTAATATATCCAAATGTATCTACACGAGTAAAATTTTTACTTTATATGGACTAGTGCATCTATGTTGTATTGAAAGGATATGTGGGACACTTTTGTTAAAGTACCTTCACTTCACGTTAAAATGTTAGCAATAAAAGCTTTCAAATAATAACAATAATAATATAAAAAATTTTATGCAAATACTTCTTCGCAGTGTCATGCCGATAGTTATACAAAAAAAAATTTATAATATCTTCTACTTTTCGTGTCATTAAAGGTATCGCGTGAAGTGGTCAGTTCAGGTGTGAACAGGTGCGCGTCAGGTCCATGCAGATGGCCGTGGCGACGGCATGAATATCTGTGGTTGACTGTAATTATGAAGGTGTTCTTCTTGCTGTTGGTTTCTTGGATTTAAGCGTTTCCGGTACTTTGACGGTATTTTGGTTTATTTTTTTAGCGTCATGCTGAAGAGCTACGTGAAGCGCGTGAAGTCAGGTAAGCGCGCGCGCGTAAAAGGAGTAGGAGGATCAAGCGTTTACTTCTCTCACCGATACATGTTTGTAACCTGTCCTACTTAACATTTCGTAACTATATTACATTAACAATACTTAACTAATATTATTATTGTTATTTACTCTGTCGGTTTAGGTCCTGCAGCTCTGCTTCATTTTGGACTTAATGTCTGTTAAAATATACCATATTCTCAGTTCAACCCAAAATAAAATATTTATTTTAATTTATTTCAGTATTTTACTTTTTAGACCTATATGTAATATTATTAAAACGCCCATTGCCTTATGGTATATAAAGTTGGAATTTACCACTTTAGGCTATTTAAAAGTTTCTGTCTAGTTTTTAATTAAAAATATATTGATTAAAAAAATTAAACTGGAAAGAGTGTGTTCAAAAACAAGTGTATCGCAACACTTTATTCCCTTTCTTATTCCCTAAATGTGATTTTCATCATTTACCAATCATCCATCCAAATGTCTATTTACTCCCACACCTATTTAATGTCCATCAAAATTAAAGCCATCAATTAATCCATTCATCAATCTGAACTCAACCAGTTCAAGGTTGGAAAAGTGTGAAACTTTGACATGGAAAAAGATGTTGGCATCCTGAGCACCTTTATTTTTATACCTAACCATTGGTATGTGTTTCTTACAGCGCTGAAACGGTCGTTTGAGGTGGAGGACACGGATACAACCACACACCCTTCACCGCTGTCCCGCCGCACTACCAACCCCCTCCGTTCCTCCATGTCCTCCTCATCCAGCCAACGGAGCTACGACCTAGGTTCACGCAACTCGGACTACTCCTCCTCCTCCTCCAGGTCCACTGCGTCCGAGTCCTCCAATTTACGTTCCCCAAAGACCGGCATGAGGCGCATCGAGTTGTCAGGAGGGAGGAACCCTGATTCAGCTGCTTCCCGCCGGGCAGAGATGTCCATCGAGGTCTCCTCCAAACAGATCGACAGCTCGCCCAGCGCCGGCATCACCCGCTTCGGCCTCAAGCGGCCAGAGGTGAGTCTGAGCAGTCGCAGCAATGCCCTAGATGGCACCTCAAACTCCATCTCCAGCATCACAAACCGGCGAGCAGAGCTCAACATGACCAGGTCCCAAGAGCCCCCTGCCCCTCCCAGGAGGATGGACACGCAGCTGTCCTCTACGCCGGTCTCTAGGATCCCTGAGCCCCCCCAGAGAAGAGCAGAGCCTCCATCTCCCAACCTGAGTTTAATTGAAGGCGTCTCCAGGAGACCAGAGATACCCGTCTTCAGACAAGCAGACGGCTCAGTGTCCAGCAGCACTATAGAGAACAACAACCACCCACCGCCTGCATCTACAGCCCCCCTGACAGAGCCACGGGTGGAAAAGGTGCAGTCACCTGTCACAGAGCAGCCAACAACTCGACCAACAGACAGTGAGTAAACCTTTAGCTAAATCTGTTTTTTTTTTAACTAAAACAAATTCTTTATTGTCGTTTTGGCTTTTCAACAAGCTGCAAATGACTTGCAACCCTGATAAATCATCTTTTAGGCCAAATTTCCTTGTTTCTGTGATTACTTAGAGGAAGTTGAACTACAATAGTATGTTATGTTGCAACCTTGTGCATAATATAGGTTGCTCTCTGTAAAGATGTCAGGATTTTAAAATCTTAGCATATTGTAGAGGGAGGCCATCTGTGAAATAACGATGCAGTCGAAAAAATGAGATTAACTAAGAATCTCTGTCTGATTATACTGTCTGTAAATGTAGGTCAGTGTAGTAGTTGATGAGAAAAGCAGGACTTTAAAGAAAATGCTGCTGGAGCAGATAATTAAATGTAGAAAACAAATGTTGAGTTTATAAAGTCACAACTGGTTTCCTTTGCTCACAGTCTATCTGTAGGTTTCAGAAGGTTGGATGTTTTATTTTAGCTAAGATGTGTTTTAAAATTGAAGGCTAATTATTTAGGGTGTTTTTCTTTCTGTCTTCACACACACCAGTAGTATTAGTAATAGAATGTGTTTCTGATTTTTTTTTTTCCCTTTAAACATTAGAACCTTTAATCGAGACATCAGGCCCTTTTCTGTTAGGATTTATTTGAAAAATATGGATTTGCTTTCCATTTTTTCCTAACTTTAATACTCCGTTTTGATTGCTCTTCTTAATTATTGTACTGCGTTTCTTAGTAGTGGAATGATAACTAGTACTCTTCACTGGCTTTGAACCATTCTATTAGGCTTCTACAAAAACAACAATATATTTATTATATTACTATATTATATTACTGCACATGTGATACAAACCTACACACAATGGGCACTATTTAGTCATCGTTGATATCTAAAAAGGCAGATTGATGCCCTGAGTTTTGTTTTGGGGGTTATACGATTACAGGAGACTGAATGCAGATGTTTTTCACACTTTTAAGATTTTATTTGTGAGAATTACTGTTATTTCACTTCACAATCCTAGTCCGTCTTGGGTCCCAAAAAAGTTCAGCAAAGCTGTTGATGATTTCATGAAATCTGGAAACAATGAACTTTTTTATTTTTTATGGCGCTGTATTGAGAAAGTTTCTCGATGTCTTTATTAAAGATATCATCCCAGACTTCTTTTACTGAAGACCATAAGGGCTTTCTGCTGTTATTTATTTTTTGTTTGTGTGAAAGCTTTAATTGAACCATATACAAGATAAAAACATGTTTACCTGTGCTTTTTTGTGCTGCTTTTCATTACCTTGAGGGTTTTTGTTTTAGTCAAAAGACCAAACGTGTGTGTTTGTGCTCCTCTGCTCTCTGGAGACGGCTGTGCTTATATTTTTCCTTCTCTGGTTAAGTAGTATCCACTTATGGGCGACAGGGAGGTTTAGTTTTCCAAGTCTGGAGGTCATAAAAGGGTTTGCTCAAAAATAGAGTCCAATTTGCTCTTTCTAAAGCTCTGTAAAGGCTGTTCCTTCATCTTTCTCCTGACTTTGCTTCAGCAGACGCTTGTTTTGTTCGGTTTTTTCTACTTTTTCTATGGATTTTACAGTTTTCAGAGGAGTACACAAGCTTTATGAGTGTCTTTAGCATGGCCTTGTAGGCAGAACGGAAGTCGGAAAGGAAAAGGGAGAGTAGGGACTCTTAACACTGCCACATTTGGCACAGATTACAATCTTCCTGCTCAGCTGAGCATGTGGAGAGAGGCCCTGTGAGGAAGAGGCCAGGGAACCAGGAAGAGACAATAACAACACATCGGCAGAAGGAGAGGGAGGAAAAAAATAATTTGGACAGCTGTAAGGCGTGGGGGGGGACTGGAAAGCAGAATTTCTTGTCACCTGTTTCTTTTCAGAAAATGCAAACATTTATGCACCTTTGACTCATTTGGGAGTAAAAGACACAAAAAAAAGCTTAGTGCTTTATGTAACATCAGGGCTAATAATGTCCAGCTTTTTGTTTGTTGTTTTATTATTTGGGACATCTAGGATTTAAAATGGGAAATATTATTTCTTCTTCACCACGACATTGGGTTGGAAGCTGGTGGCTAGTGTCTGTGTGGTCTGGGAAATGTTTGCATAAGAGTGTGTGTGCGATCTACGGCCAGGTAATAACAGTCTTCACTCATGTGCGTACACGTGTACCCTGAGTATAGATTCCAAGAATGCCTTGCTCAAGGGAGTAGTGGCTAATGAACATGCTGATAAGTGATTTGACTTTTTTTTTTTTTTTAATGGTGAATTTGGAGCAGGCACAAGGTGCAGTAATGACACGCTTTGCTACAGTTGATTGGTTGACTTTAACCATAAACAGCTGGATCAGCCTCGGAGCGCCTCCTCAGGATGTGAGCTCATGTTTACACACAGAAAAACACACGGACATTTATTCACTGTGGATATAGCTCATCCTAGTTTCCCATCCTCCCCCTGACTGATTTATTTAATTATGGCTGCTCTTATATGACTGTCTTGGTGTACTGTCTGCTTAGAGGGCTTATTATTGGATGCCTAAATTAGCCTCCAGTAATTAGGCGTTGGTGTTGATGTAGCTTTGACTTTACTACAGCACCTTTCTGATTTACTTACAGTTTTTTGTTGGGAAAATTGAAAACAGAAATTAGGAGTCAACAAATGCTCACTGTGTTTAAGCAACATAACACACATACACATCAAGTATTATATTCACAAAAGAGTTTTTGGGGGATATATTACATTGACACGTATTCTTAGGCATGTCAATCCACCCTATCCAACCATTATTCTTGTCTAAATGAAAGACTCCTGCCGTGAAGTGATAGTAAGACTTGTTGCAAATATTCATGCACAAAATAACAGTTTTGGTCAGAACTCAAAATGGCAAAACAAGGCGAAGCAGTGAAACCAGAGCAGAGTACTTAAGAAACTATCTTAGAAGTCTGGTTATCAGTATCCTTTTACAAACTAGCTTAGCCCAACCCAGTCTCATGGGAAAATGTACCCCCACTACGTTGGTCCACACTGCAAAACGTAGTGGAGGAACATTAATGGCCATTTTTTTGTGGTACTGTTACGTTTCTTCTACCTATACACTTTCTATTGTTTTACGTCCTAGTCACGTGACTTTCAAGATTCCAGCTGGGAGAAGAAAAAAAATAAATATATGGCCGACATTCGCTCATTTTTTTGTGGAAAGATTAATTACTTGAGTTTGTTTTTGCATTAAAATGAGTTTTGATTACATTTCTAGTGAGAAATGTATAGTTTGTTGCCAGAATATTTACTCAGGGAATGTACATATTCACTTGCTTGTTCGTTTTTGCTACGTTTTTCGGATCTCGTCAGGATTATGTGAAATTGCAACGTTTAGGCTGCTACCCATCGCCTAGCATTTAGCTGGAAATCTTGTATGGAAATATAGTATGGAAATCTTGGAAATCTACCGGATCCTTTGTGCATTTCACTTCCTGTTTGGTGCGATCTCATTGATGGGTTTTGACCAGATTTTGACCAAAGAGGAACTAAAAAAAAAAAAAAAAAAACAATTTAAATAGACAACCAGCATATCTGGAATCAATGACAGAGAGCATACATAATCACCCGCTTGCTAGTTTTTGCTACGGTTTTTCGGATCTCGTCAGGATTATGTGAAATTGCAACGTTTTGGCTGCTACCCATCGCCTAGCATTTAGCTGCTGCCCCGATTCAACATTGAATTCTTTGTGATTTAACTCCATCTGACGGATCAAACCCTTGCCACTGCGTGCGTTGCGTCTGAGGTTGATTTTCAGATCAATGCATTACATCGTGGCATACGGGAGAAACTAATTAAACTAGTTAAAAAAAAGGATCATGGGTTAAGATCGGATGTGTTTTATTTGGAAATCTACCGGATCCTTTGTGCAATTAACTTCCTGTTTGGTGCGATCTCATTGATGGGTTTTAACCAGATTTTGACCAAAGAGGAACTAAAAAAAAAAAAAAAACAATTTGAATACACAACCAGCATATCTGGAATCAGTGACAGAGAGCGACTGGGACCAGAAGTTTATTAATTTCTCCCCACTGATTTCCATTCAAAATGTTTTCGATCCCACCGGGCTCTAGGGAAGGGGCGGGCATACCGCCACCTACTGTTTATGAGTGTGTAGCAACATTGTTTTACATCTATTAAATTCTATTTTTTAATTTTGTATTCTGAAGATAAATAAATAATGCTTTCCTTAATCTATAAATATCTTTTATATTTCCTTTATTTCCCAATAATCCTTTAAGACTCCATTCTTGGCCTGTCCTCTTTTCAATTTCTTCCTTTCAGGTTCATATGTTTTGCAGTTCATCAATACATCTACATTTTCTATCTCTCCACATCCTTCACATTTATCATTATTTTTCCTCCCTATTAAGTATAAATTGTCATTTAAATAAGTATGACCTACTCTTAATCTGATCATTATTATATCTTCCCTTCGGTTTCTCTCATTAATATTTCTATTTAATACTGACTTTTGTACTTTATATAACCTTCTTCCTTTTTATCTTCATTCCACCTTTTTTTTTTTTTTGCCATTTTTCAATTTCTTTCCTCTTAATAAATGATTTTCCTTCCCCTTTCCCTAAAGGAATTGTAATTGTTATTTGTCTACTTTTCATTCCAGCTAACTTTCCATTAATTAGCTTGAAAACAGCACTTTGTAGGCACCCAGTTTCTCTAACAATGGCCCTTTTTGGGTTACCCTCCATGCATTGGATGTCAGTTCAGTGGCAGTTCCAGAACATTTTCTTAGGGTTGACCAGGCAGCACAATAATGTGCATGTGGCCAAAAAGTAATAGGGATCAAATTCTGTTCAGAGTCAAGCTATTGGGATCAGGCATCAGGTTCAATTTGCATATTTTCTTAGCCAAAACAAGGATTTGTTGGGCTACTGTAATTTTGAATTGAAAAACATCCTGAATGGGAAGTCTTCAAACTTGAAAAACGAAG